GCATATTTTCGGTATAAAAATCGTAATTTGAAACTGAAAATAGGTGCAGAGAGTCAGAATTCGGCTCAAAAATCACGCTCAGGAGTCAAATTTCCGACATTTCAGATATTTTGAAAACTGCAGGGGGGTTTGGGCAAAATATGACCCATCGCCGTTTTCAGTAATTGGCATATTTTCGGTATAAAAATCGTAATTTGAAACTGAAAATAGGTGCAGAGAGTCAGAATTCGGCTCAAAAATCACGCTCAGGAGTCAAATTTCCGACATTTCAGATATTTTGAAAACTGCAGGGGGGTTTGGGCAAAATATGACCCATCGCCGTTTTCAGTAATTGGCATATTTTCGGTATAAAAATCGTAATTTGAAACTGAAAATAGGTGCAGAGAGTCAGAATTCGGCTCAAAAATCACGCTCAGGAGTCAAATTTCCGACATTTCAGATATTTTGAAAACTGCAGGGGGGTTTGGGCAAAATATGACCCATCGCCGTTTTCAGTAATTGGCATATTTTCGGTATAAAAATTCGTAATTTGAAACTGAAAATAGGTGCAGAGAGTCAGAATTCGGCTCAAAAATCACGCTCAGGAGTCAAATTTCCGACATTTCAGATATTTTGAAAACTGCAGGGGGGTTTGGGCAAAATATGACCCATCGCCGTTTTCAGTAATTGGCATATTTTCGGTATAAAAATCGTAATTTGAAACTGAAAATAGGTGCAGAGAGTCAGAATTCGGCTCAAAAATCACGCTCAGGAGTCAAATTTCCGACATTTCAGATATTTTGAAAACTGCAGGGGGGTTTGGGCAAAATATGACCCATCGCCGTTTTCAGTAATTGGCATATTTTCGGTATAAAAATCGTAATTTGAAACTGAAAATAGGTGCAGAGAGTCAGAATTCGGCTCAAAAATCACGCTCAGGAGTCAAATTTCCGACATTTCAGATATTTTGAAAACTGCAGGGGGGTTTGGGCAAAATATGACCCATCGCCGTTTTCAGTAATTGGCATATTTTCGGTATAAAAAGTCGTAATTTGAAACTGAAAATAGGTGCAGAGAGTCAGAATTCGGCTCAAAAATCACGCTCAGGAGTCAAATTTCCGACATTTCAGATATTTTGAAAACTGCAGGGGGGTTTGGGCAAAATATGACCCATCGCCGTTTTCAGTAATTGGCATATTTTCGGTATAAAAATTCGTAATTTGAAACTGAAAATAGGTGCAGAGAGTCAGAATTCGGCTCAAAAATCACGCTCAGGAGTCAAATTTCCGACATTTCAGACATTTTGAAAACTGCAGGGGGGTTTGGGCAAAATATGACCCATCGCCGTTTTCAGTAATTGGCATATTTTCGGTATAAAAATTCGTAATTTGAAACTGAAAATAGGTGCAGAGAGTCAGAATTCGGCTCAAAAATCACGCTCAGGAGTCAAATTTCCGACATTTCAGATATTTTGAAAACTGCAGGGGGGTTTGGGCAAAATATGACCCATCGCCGTTTTCAGTAATTGGCATATTTTCGGTATAAAAAGTCGTAATTTGAAAATGAAAATAGGTGCAGAGAGTCAGAATTCGGCTCAAAAATCACGCTCAGGAGTCAAATTTCCGACATTTCAGATATTTTGAAAACTGCAGGGGGGTTTGGGCAAAATATGACCCATCGCCGTTTTCAGTAATTGGCATATTTTCGGTATAAAAAGTCGTAATTTGAAACTGAAAATAGGTGCAGAGAGTCAGAATTCGGCTCAAAAATCACGCTCAGGAGTCAAATTTCCGACATTTCAGATATTTTGAAAACTGCAGGGGGGTTTGGGCAAAATATGACCCATCGCCGTTTTCAGTAATTGGCATATTTTCGGTATAAAAAGTCGTAATTTGAAACTGAAAATAGGTGCAGAGAGTCAGAATTCGGCTCAAAAATCACGCTCAGGAGTCAAATTTCCGACATTTCAGATATTTTGAAAACTGCAGGGGGGTTTGGGCAAAATATGACCCATCGCCGTTTTCAGTAATTGGCATATTTTCGGTATAAAAATTCGTAATATGAAACTGAAAATAAGTGCAGAGAGTCAGAATTCGGCTCAAAAATTACGCTCAGGAGTCAAATTTCCGACATTTCAGATATTTTGAAAACTGCAGGGGGGTTTGGGCAAAATATGACCTATCGCCGTTTTCAGTAATTGGCATATTTTCGGTATAAAAAATCGGAATTTGAAACTGAAAATAGGTGAAGAGAGTCAGAATTCGGCTCAAAAATCACGCTCAGGAGTCAAATTTCCGATATTTCATATATTTTGAAAACTGCAGGGGGGTTTGGGCAAAATATGACCCATCGCGATTTTCAGTAATTGGCATATTTTCGGTATAAAAATCGTAATTTGAAACTGAAAATAGGTGAAGAGAGTCAGAATTCGGCTCGAAAATCATGCTCAGGAGTCAAATTTCCGATATTTCAGATATTTTGAAAACTGCAGGGGGGTTTGTGCAAAATATGGCCCATCGCCGTTTTCAGTAATTGGCGTATTTTCGATATAAAAATCGTAATTTGAAACTGAAAATTGGTGAAGAGAGTCAGAATTCGGCTCAAAAATCACGCTCAGGAGTCAAATTTCCGACATTTCAGATATTTTGAAAACTGCAGGGGGTTTGGGCAAAACATGACCCATCGCGATTTTCAGTAATTGGCATATTTTCGGTATAAAAATTCGTAATTTGAAACTGAAAATAGGTCCAGAGAGTCAGAATTCGGCTCAAAAATCACGCTCAGATGTCAAATTTCCAATATTTCAGATATTTTGAAAACTGCAGGGGGGTTTGGGCAAAATAAGACCCATCGAAGTTTTCAGTAATTGGTATATTTTCGGTATAAAAATCGTAATTTGAAACTGAAAATAGGTGAAGAGAGTCAAAATTCGGCTCAAAAATTACGCTCAGGCGTCAAATTTCCGACGTTTCAGATATTTTGAAAACTGCAGGGGGGTTTGGGCAAAATATGACCCATCGCCGTTTTCAGTAATTGGCATATTTTCGGTATAAAAAGTCGTAATTTGAAACTGAAAATAGGTGCAGAGAGTCAGAATTCGGCTCAAAAATCACGCTCAGGAGTCAAATTTCCGACATTTCAGATATTTTGAAAACTGCAGGGGGGTTTGGGCAAAATATGACCCATCGCTGTTTTCAGTAATTGGCATATTTTCGGTATAAAAATTCGTAATTTGAAACTGAAAATAGGTGCAGAGAGTCAGAATTCGGCTCAAAAATCACGCTCAGGAGTCAAATTTCCGACATTTCAGATATTTTGAAAACTGCAGGGGGGTTTGGGCAAAATATGACCCATCGCCGTTTTCAGTAATTGGCATATTTTCGGTATAAAAATCGTAATTTGAAACTGAAAATAGGTGCAGAGAGTCAGAATTCGGCTCAAAAATCACGCTCAGGAGTCAAATTTCCGACATTTCAGATATTTTGAAAACTGCAGGGGGGTTTGGGCAAAATATGACCCATCGCGATTTTCAGTAATTGGCATATTTTCGGTATAATAATCGTAATTTGAAACTTAAAATAGGTGAAGAGAGTCAGAATTCGGCTCAAAAATCACGTTCAGTAGTCAAATTTCCGACATTTCAGATATTTTGAAAACTGCAGGGGGGTTTGGGCAAAATATGACCCATCGCCGTTTTCAGTAATTGGCGCATTTTCGGTATAAAAATCGTAATTTGAAACTGAAAATTGGTGAAGAGAGTCAGAATTCGGCTCAAAAATCACGTTCAGGAGTCAAATTTCCGACATTTCAGATATTTTGAAAACTGCAGGGGGGTTTGGGCAAAATATGACCCATCGCGATTTTCAGTAATTGGCACATTTTCGGTATAAAAATTCGTAATTTGAAACTGAAAATAGGCGCAGAGAGTCAGAATTCGGCTCAAAAATCATGCTCAGAAGTCAAATTTGCGATATTTCAGATATTTTGAAAATTGCGAGGGGGTTTGGGCAAAATATGGCCCATCGCTGTTTTCAGTAATTGGCGTATTTTTGGTATAAAAATCGTAATTTGAAAGTGAAAATTGGTGAAGAGAGTCAGAATTCGGCTCAAAAATCATGCTCAGGAGTCAAATTTCCGATATTTCAGATATTTTGAAAACTGCAGGGGGGTTTGGGCAAAATATGACCCATCGCCGTTTTCAGTAATATCCATATTTACGTTATAACAAGTCGTAATTTGCAACTCTAATGCTGTTGATTAATAATGATACTATTGATTAATAATGAAGAATACTAACTTCATCATCATAACCATCTTCACTACTCACTATCTTTATCACTGTAACCCAAATGAATTCAGTTCAGCATTTTCAAGTAACTTGTGCAAATGTGCAGCAAACTGCAGACATTTTCACATCTCCATTTCATTTCTTACTTGATGAAAATGGCACCTGGAGGGTTGGGTTGAAAGCTGACATTTCTTCAAGTATTTAACAGGCCTACCCCCTACTTGCCTTTGTCCATCGCATGCCCCAGTCTATTTTCTATGAAAATTTTCATGGGGAATGGTAATACTTCAAGGGTGATTAACAAGCATTAACGATTGATAAAGATTAAGCCACCCAAGAGGTGGTACCCGCATGAATAGCCCTTAAAAGTATTAACGCTTTGATCTGCTTTATATATCACTGTATCATGACTATTTGTCATGGTTTAATACATAGATAAATTAGTGTAGAAGAGAATCTATAGTGAACAAAGGAGATAATTGAGTTAGCCAACATTTCAAAAGAAAACGGTTACGCTCTGACAGTAATACCAAATGCACAAAATACTCACGCCCATTTAACACCAAATTAAACCATAAAAGCATCAATTTACACGAAAAAATAAACTAAATAAGTATATTAATAAATATGGTAATGCTATAAATAGGCCGTAAATAGCAAATATTACGGGATAGAGTTGGCAAACCTAGCCAGATGTATGGTACAACAGCCGACGAGTTTGGCAGTGGTGTTGAGATGGCCGAGACGTAAACAAACAGGTCGGGTGAAGCCTTCATCTCTTACAACCAGTTTTCAGGGCGGCTCTCGGCACTCTCTCCTCCACTCCTCTACGGTAACGCCACGGGGCTGCGGTGCTCGGCCCCTGGGGGCTCTTGGTGGGCTGCAGGTCATCACGCTTTTCTGGTTTTGTAGAGGTGAAAGGAAACCTGCTGGGGGGGACGGGGAGGAGGAGGGAAGAAGTTGATGAAGGCGCGTTCCGCTGAAACCATTCTTGGTCTCACATTTTTGGTTGTAATTTTTTTTGTGTGGACGTAGGTGATTGTGGCGACTGTGATAGTTGGGGTTTTGTGTGTGTGAGGCATTATTATTATTGCTGGCATTAGTAGGTGTGTTGAGAGTTGACTGTTTATAAGGTAAGCCTAATGTCCTGAGTGAGGGAAGGTCCTATTATGGCCGGTTAATTTGACCAGGACATTAGTAGTATTTATTGGTTACTTATAAGTTACTGGTCTGTACTTCTTAATCTTCCTGGTTTGGTGTCTTTTATTGTATTACTGGGACATTTCAGTTACTATTTATTTGTTTACAAGAAGGTACATTGGGTTTGTGAAGGTACATAACATTGTTTTTTTTTTACATTTTTGCAAAGCCGCTAACACGCATGGTGTTTCAGGCAGACATAAGAATTGTATGGTTTGTTTGGTGATTAGTAACTAGATACTAGGCCATTTGCCAGTCAAGGTATCCTCAAATTATTTTAGAGTAGGATATTCTGGAATATATTTCTACTTTGCCAAACATGGAAAAAGTATTAACATTGGCCACTATGCAGTCACCCTTACCTGGGACACTTTTGCATTACAACATCATAAATTGCATTTCCAGCAGTCGAAGCAGCTGCTGGAGACGAGCCGTGAGCTTCTTGTCACCTGGCTGACAAAATACTAGCTGCTTATTTTGCAGGGACAAGTTGTATTTTTTGCCATAACAAGTGCCACGAGATTATGGCAATAAGTCTTTGTTCTGATGCTTATTATATGTAACTTATTTTCTGCATTGTAGAATAATGGAAACTTATCTAATCTAAGATTTGGGTATTGAGCACTTATATAGTTGGATACAGCCCTATAGAAAGCTGCACTATTTACCTGAGACTGATGGATGCCTACTACCTAGAGAGGGTTCTGGGAGATCATCTTCTTTCCTAGCCCATCTTGAGTCCAGGCTTGGCTTGTGAGAGCATGGTCTAACAGACTATTGCTTGGAGCAGCCCATATATCCACTACAACAAAGTTGGTTTGCCCCCTTCTTGCAGGAAACTATTTTTTTCTGGAAAAACATCCACTTTTGTTCCAGCATTATTTCTTATACTTGCTGGGGAGGATATCAAACATCTGTGAGCCTCCAATGTTCTCTGTATATTTGGCACCTCTACTCTTCACAGGCTCTGTTCTGCATTTCCTGCCATATCATTTGCTCCAGATTGTTATTTTACTGTAAAAATTTAGGATTTGGCCTTCCAGTGTTTTCCATGGACTGTATATGTTAAGTCCATGTTTTATGTTTTCCTCTCTCGTTTCCATTCCAGTGAGTACATTTTGAGAGCTTAGGTGGTTCCAATAATTTAGTTGCTCTATTTTGTCTACATGTGTGTGTCGTAAATGTTATCAGTACAAATACTTTTTTTTTTTACCAATCTCTCCTGTTCTGAAGGAGGAAGTGAACATTTAAGAGTACTCAAGGCTTATTCATTCATCATATTGATATTTCCGCTTTGCCAACACTTATGAGAAAATATTCTCTTTTGTAGGCTCGGTGAATGTTATTTTGTAAAAAGTCACACCACTTAAGGCAGAGGGATGTGACTTCATTAGTTTGAGACGGTGCCAAGACAAAGAAGGGCTTAGTATGTGACCTTGGCCATGCCATGACATCCATGGGTATGTTTAAGCACTGGCACTACTCGGAACATAAACATTAGCAACAACCATAACACCTCACAATGTGTGACTCGTGAGTCCCTTTGAGAGTGTCATATTAGACAAGCTAATATTTAATTAAAGGTTATAAAATATCTCAATACTGCTTTTAAAATTTGGGTTACATTATTCTGTATCCAGATATTGAAGTGTCTCTTAGTCCTGTATCTAACTTATCCTCGGATGATTCTTCACTTACTGTATGCCTGAGAAAGCACTACACATTCCCTTCTTTGATGCTTAGAATATAACTATAACTTCAGAATTACATTATGCATCCAATAATCGGTAACATGATTTATATGATGCATACATTATTTTCCTGTGTTGGCTCCTCAATATGTTGTCTAAGAAAGCAATCAACTAATTCTGAAAAAATGTGGTTTCAGTATTCCCCGTTTTGTTAATCAGATATGTTCTACTAAAATTAAAATAAAATATATTCAACTAAAAAGTCATCCATAACTCAAACACTATTTGATCTAAATGATCTAGATATTTCATCCCAGGCATGCTTTGCTTCCATTTTGTCATAGTTAAGTGGCCTGTATATAACTACTTTTATTAAATTATTATTTTAATTCATTTTTAACTAAATACATAGTTTGCACACGTTGCCAAGTTTTTATCTCTGGCACTACATTTTAAATTTTCCATGACACATATGGCTACTCTCCCTCTTCGCTTAATCTGTCTATCCATATAAAATCTGTCTATCCATATATCTGTCTATTTTTAATCATAATCATTTTAATCCCTTTCTCCTGATTATAATCAGGAGAATATAATCCTGATATTCAGGAAGTAGTTCCCTGTGTTCTACATTTATCCACATTTTGTTTACTGCAATAATGTCTAGTGCATACAAAGAGGCATTTAAATCATTTTTGCAATCTTTGCAGTACAGTGCTGCTGCAGAAATTCTGAATATTATATTTTGAACACTTTACAGATTTTTAAGGATTTTGGATTTTGCAAAATTGAGTTGTTGTTTCTCGCAAATTTTGGTGTTCTTTTGACTCGCCAAGTTAGGCACTGATCCAACCAAGCCTTGGCAAGTTGCATCAGGCCTCTGAGACTTGTCCAAGTCTACAGGGAGCCAGAACCAGAGTCTGGCTCTCTCTTCAGGGTGAAGGAAACTTTGGAATCAGAGATTAACCCAAAATCAAGTAAAAATACCAGAAAGCATAAGCACATCTAAACAAGCCATTGTTTTGCAGCAAATTAAGTACTGTACTGTACTGTTCCCTCAAGTAACAAGACATGTGATTATTTTTGTGATGTAAACACCTTTACCATATACTTTTACTTTTAAAATTTCAAGCAAAAGGTTTTAGTTCAGTGAATGAAGATACAACAGTTTCTTCAATTGAGTGATAATCATGACACCACGTTACCAAAACAAAGTCAGTAATTCCTATTATATCTTATATAAACAGTAATAACTGACAAATTAAATTACATGCATACTTCTCTTGACATCCAAGCTTTGCTTCCTTCATAATCCTATGTAATATGTTATGAAATATGATTTGGAGACTCCTGCTGTTAGATTTAGCTTTAATGAAGGTTGACTTCCAATGAGGTAATACTACATAGTACATACTACTACTACTCGGGTATTTAAGACTATATCATTAAAGGAAATGTATATGTTTATCTCTCAGAATGTTTGGTAATATGTTTATTGTTTGTGATGTGTGTGTATGTATGTATTAACACGATGTACTGAACGGGGTGAGAATAGCTTGAGCTACCTCATCCCTTTGTGTGTATTTTACCTCAATAAACTTATTTCAATTTCAATATCATTAAGGAACATGCATTTTCTCAGATGACTTTGTATGATGTCTTGGGTGTGAGCCAAGATGCGAGTGAAACTGAAATTCGTCGGCAGTACCAGGAGTTAGCGCGGCAGTTTCACCCAGACAAGTCTGCCGTGGAAGGTGCCAAGGAAAAATTTTTGAAAGTGACAGAAGCCTGGCATGTTCTAGGAGACACTCAGAAGCGTAGAGAGTATGATGATCAGTTGAAGCGTGAAAAGGTTAGTGATGTATGACAAATTGAAAGTACTGTACAGTAGTTGTTACATGGTGTCAGTCACTAGGTTAAGCTTGAGAACTATCACTAGCTCTCTTTCACCCATATGTCTGAACATGTATTTCATAATGTAATATGTCTTGCGATATATTTAAAATTTAAATATTGCCATATTCATAATCAAATCGTATGGTGATATTTATGGTGTGATTTTTCCTTGCATTGCAGGTTTTATTAGACTATTATTTTAATTTTTTTATTTGTCATTTTAATTTAATTTGCTTTAATCGTATTGGGGGTTGCCAGAGAAAGGGTCTGTGGTTGTCCTTTGACAATCTCTGGGATTTAGTTCCTTACCCTGAGGGTTGGATGCTCTGTACAGTCATGTTGTCTAATATTCACCGTCATGTTATGAGTTGGTCACTACTTCTGCACACCCACAGCTGTGTGGATTTTTACCTGGGTTTAGCCCTTCCTCTCCTCTTTACCTCGTCACAAGTTTCTCTTGTCTCATCCTTCACATGCGGCTTGTGGGGGGGAGCCTTGCTGTGGTGCATGCTAAGAATCCGAAACAATGGGTTTGAACTACACTAGTCCTCCTCTGTATATTGCTCCTCTTTTGTTTCCTGGCTACAATGTTGAGGTTGCAGCCTCATCCTAAATAGCAGACAATTATTATTATAATTTTTTTTTTATCATCATGGATCCATGATTGAGAGTAGGAGGAGGATGCCTTGGTTTTTCAGTTCTTTCTTAGAGGGGTCTTTTCTGCATGCTTGCAATAGTGCCTTGTATGCTTCCCAGATACCTCGGTTGCATTCAGCATTGATTCACCATTTATGTGCTGGGCAGAGTGGTTTCAGACAGATCTCTGTGCTTTTTCTGTTGCAGACACTTGTCTTTCCCAGGTTGTGTCACTTCTGCAGGTCTTGGTTGTGTGTTTCTTGTGGCTTTTTGTGCCTGGGTATCTTGCATGTGGTCTTAGGTCCTCTAGTGGTTTTGTTCCTTCCAGCTTCTGGTGCCTTGAGGGTCTGCTCTTCTGTCAACTCGTCTACTCCTTATCGTTGTCCCTGATTTATTGGCTAGGGTTCAGGATGCGGCATCTCTCATCCCACTTACAGGCTCTACAGTTTAGTCTTCCCCAGATTGTCTCATGTGTATACCTCCAACATTTCTTTCTTTGGGGTTATGCATTCTGGCTTACCTCGGCAATTAATTCCTTTGTTCCCACAGTTGTCCACTTTATCTCCTGGACAGGGTTCTGGTTGTTTTTCCGTTGGTCCATGTACCAGTTTTTGGGGGTACCAGTTTTTTGGTGTACCAGTTTTCTGGTTGAACTGGGGCTGATCTGGATTACTGGGCCACCATTCGTTCACTCTTCCTTAGTAAGCTATGTTTGGGCTGCAGCTGGTGCAAGGGCAGTCTCAACTTTACCACTGAGTCCTCGTTTCATCTTTTGGGCAGCTTGGCCCTTGCCTTTGTAGTGTTCCCACAGGATCATTGCCAAGGGGCTTTTTCCCACTGCCATAGTCATAGGAAGTGTACCCAGCCTTTGTGTTTAGGCATTTTTAATGATAAATACTGTATATACAGTAGTTAGTGCAGTGTGCTAGAAAGGTGGTCTAAGACTCCAGACTTCAGTGAACCTTACACAGGAACTGGTATGTTGTATAACCAGTTCACTTGCTCTAGACGAAATTAGAAATTTAAAGAAATATATCAGTCCTATATTGTGTGTATAAAGGACAAAGTCTTTCTGTATTCAAAGAAAGAGTACAGACTGTACAGTATTTAGCAAGAGGTTGGCCGTCAGAGAGATGTGTCCCATTCTCAACGCCAGGTGATTTCAACTTGGATTAACAAACATAACCTGCTCGGATAATACTTACGCTGTACATTACTGCTCAATACCATATGTGGTTTCCCATTGTCAGAATCGGAAAGCCTGTACTTACTTATTGAGGTCCTTCCCCCTAGGCCAACTACTGACCATTTCCAGGATGCAATCCACAATAGTTGGCAAATTCCTGTGTACATATTTACTACAAAATGAAAAAGGTGTTATCAGGTGAAAGGAAATGTGCATAACCATCTCAGTCCTCCTATGGCAATTGAACTTGGGACCCTCAGTTGCAAGCTGACATCGTAGCCCACAGTTCTAACAAAGTGGGAACGCTTTTTGCTGCTTTTATGAGCTAGAAAAAAAAAAAGAGGTGTTATGCCCAAGGTTTTGCCTAGATTGGTTAGGTTGGGCATTTGCCTCACTAGCACCAATGACACACAGGTTTGCTGGTAGTTGGCCCTGGTGTGCACTGTAACTTCTGGACCTGGAGCTGGGCCCAGGTCTGAGCATCAGGTTGCAGATGTGGCTCTTTCAGTTTTGTTGGCCCAATTGTTTACGATAAATTTGTGTGTAGTAATTTTTGCCCGCCTTGAAAATTACCTGGAGAAACAGGATTCAAGATTTTGTTTATTTCAACAAAAATCCAGAGCAATCCAGCAAACACATTTTCATAAACAAAAAATTTGTAATAACAAATAAATGAGGAATGTTGAATGTTGGTCTCATCTTTACCACCGAGTCCTTGTTTCCTCCTTTGGGCAGCCCGGCCTTTGCCTGTGTAGTGTTCCCGCAGGATTGTGAAATGTTTATAAACGTGTATACTGCAGTGCCATGCATTACCCGTAATACATATGCCAATTTCACTGCATATTTCACTCTTGACCCATTTATTTCTGATGTTATACAAAAAGTCTTAGTTATGATGTAATCAATAATTTTAAAATGCAAAGAATACAGTCTAGTTTAAACCCGATTTATTGTGGCCAAACTGGAAGTATTAATGTGTATTTGTTTACATCATTTATACCTCAGTTGGTGTTTAAATGTGATAAAAGTTAAGGGCAAGTAAAAAAAATCCTTCTGAACAAGAAAAACCGAGACAAAAAAAGAATTTCCTAGAAAATCACAATTTCCTAGTGCATACTGTGAAATTGCAAATCCTAGAACATACTGGGAAATCACCGTTTCCCAGTACAGACTGGGAAATCACCGTTTCCCAGTACAGACTGGGAAATCACCGTTTCCCAGTACAGACTGGGAAATCACCGTTTCCCAGTACAGACTGGGAAATCACCGTTGCGTGACATTATGCAAGAATCATTGGAGCACTCCAGGGATTTGAATGAGCATTCTGAAATTACCCAAGTGTAGTTACAGAGCTATGCTCATGGTGTCCCATCTTTCCAGTACTCTTTTGTCATATGACGCTTTGAAAGTACTGACGGTTTTGGCCTCCACCACCGTCTCGCCTAACTTGTTCCAACCATCTACCACTCTGTTTGTGAAAGTGAATTTTCTTGTAATGTATTTCTTCGGCAGTTTTGTTTAGTTTAAATCTATGACCTCTTGTTCTTGATGTTCCGGGTCTCTGGAATTCTTCCCTATCAATTTTATTGATTCCTGTTACTATTTTGTATGTAGTTATCATACCACCTCTTTTTCTTCTTCTATTTTTTTGCATATTTAATGCCTTGTCCTTCGGTTCTGGGGACCCACTTAGTGGCATGTCTGGACCTTTTCCATTTTGTTGATGTGCTTCTTAAGATATGGGCACCATACAACCGCTGCATAATCCAGCTTTGGTCTAACAAAAGTCGTGAACAATCTCTTTAGTATTTTGCCATCTGTGTATTTAAAAGCAGTTCTGAAGTTAGAAAGTGTAGCATAGGCTCCTCGCACAATGTTCCTTATGTGGTCCTCAGGTGATAGTTTCCTATCTAGAACCACCCCTAGATCTCTTTCTTTATCAGAATTCTTTAAAGATTTCTCACATAACTTATAGGTTGTGTGTGATCTATGTTCTCCTATTCCACTTTCCATAACATGGCATTTACTCACATTAAATTCCATTTGCCAAGTGGTGCTCCATATACCTATTTTGTCCAGGTCTTCTTGAAGGGCATGATGATCATCTAAGTTTATCATCTTCCTAATTATCTTAGCATCATCAGCAAACATGTTCATATAATTCTGTATTCCATCTGGTAGATCGTTTATGTAGACAATGAACATTACCAGTGCAAGAACTGAACCCTGTGGTACTCCACTTGTGACATTTCTCCAGTCCAATACATTGCCTCTGACTACTGCCCTCATTTTTCAGTCACCCCCTCCAATATGTTCCAGTTTCCAGAACCTCTTATGTGAAACTGTCAAAAGCCTATTTTTTTTTTTGTCTAGATAGATGCAGTCAACCCACCCATATGTTTCCTGTAAAATCTCTGTGGCGCGATCATAGAAACTGAGTAAATTCATTGCACAGGATCTTCCAGATCGAAAACCATACCGACTTTATGATGATATATTTTTTTCTCCAGGTGTTCTACCTATTTAGTTTTAATTATTTTTTCCAATATTTTGACTATCACACTTGCCAATGATACAGGTCTATAATTGAGTGGGTCTTCCCTGCTGCCACTTTTGTAGATTGGAACTACGTTAGCCTTTTTTTCCACACATCTGCTATGACTCCTGTACACAGGGATGCCTGAAAAGTCAGTTGAGGTGGAATGCTGTGCTCGGGCGCACATTCTCTCGGAACCCATGGTGAAACTCCATCTGGGCCAACTGCTTTGTTTTTACTTAGCTCCTTGAGCATTTTTTCACTTCATCTCTAGACACCTCTATGTTGTTCTCTGGAATTCTTATTATGTATGGTTCCCTGAAGGTATCATTTTGTACAAACTGTGTCTTCCCAACTGTGTGCCTTAACTCACTGTACCATGAGTTGCTGTAAGAAATTTAACCTTGGATTCTACTAAATCCACTAGGGACCTTAATGCAACAAACTGATCCCAAATAAAGTCTTTATAAATTACACTCGTACACTCTGGTTAATCTGTCAATAAGATGACAGGGTCTGATCATGTGAATTATAACTCGTCTCTTCTAATGATGTTTAATTAAACAGATTTGAATATTTTAATATATATAAATGATATTTTTTGAAATGTCAGTAATATGCAGTACTGTATCTACATAAAAGTGAGTTTTGTGTTTGATTTTTACACCAGGTACTTTTATTTATATATATATATATATATATATATATATATATATATATATATATATATATATATATATATATATATATATATATATACATACATACATATAAGTACATACATACATATAAGTACATACATACACACACACACACACACACACACACACACAGTATTTGTCGCTTTCTAGCTAATTTTTAGCTTTGGTTGAGTTTTGTCATGTACAATGCATGTTACAAATTACAGCTTTAATGTATAAATTGATTAGTCAGCAATATTATGTAAGATAATGTTCCAATTCAAATCTATTTAGATTTGGTGCAGCATAAATCATGCTTTTGCTTTCAAAATCGTGATTTTCATAGAAATAACTATTGTTAAATTTTGCTATTGTGAGAGTTGTTCATTTTAAGACCAGAATTGTCAAAATAAGTCTTCCCTGGTGAGATGATACCCTTCAGTCAGTTATTATTGCACACTTTCATCTTAGGCGCTAGGAACTCCACAAGCCCTCCTTACCCTAAACCTTATAGCTGTTTATTTCAGCGATATTTCTGTTGCATTACTGTTTATGAAGCTTGTGAATATGGCAAATATGTTATAATAAGTTCTTGTATGTTTTCTAGCTTTATCAAGAGTTTCCTGTAAGTGAGGAGTTATTTCTTGAAGATCTGGAGCGAGATAGAGAAGAAGGCGTTTACCTTCACACTTGTCGATGTGGAGGACACTATACTCTGGCTGCCCAGGATGCAAGAAATTCAACAGAGAAGGAAGTTGTAGTTGCCTGTGACAATTGTTCTCTAAGTATTCTTGTTTTACTTAATTGTGATGAGAACACTTGATAGATAAATTTTTAATACAGATGCCTGTTGTGAAACAATTTTGACCACATGTCTGATATAACTAAAAATCAAAGATGCATTATTAGGGGAATTAAAATGTGTGAATGACTTATTGGATACTTCAAAAGCTATTTTCGAATTTTATATATTTTCTTTTGGAAATGAAGTTTAACACACAGATGGCATAAATTTTATTATGGTTAAAATAAGCTATTCGTTATACACTTGCGTAATATTTTCTCTTCAGAATATCATAGCAGTTAGGTATTGAATCGGTCTGAAGGTATGTGACAGCTATTTATAAACCACTACTGTATTGTATTGTACTCGAAGGAAATGAATTCATTCATAGTTTAAATGTAAATTAGCATTCAATTTCCTCTGCATTTTTTTATCAGTTTTCTACAGTTGATGGGTTATTGGAATGTATAAAGATTTGTCATTGTTATTATCATGTAATTTTTAACTCATCATCCCAACAACATAATCATGATTTTTGTTCACGTGAAAGATTGTATGAAGGGAGGATAACATAGAAGTAGTTAGCATAACACACTCCTGCTCAGTGTTTGTGGTGGTCTCATCTTGCTGTGATATTTTGTTTCTGCAACACGTAAATACACCTACCTTCTGTTCTGTCTCTAGCATATATGTTCATTCTAAAACTATTTTAAAAAGGGGAAGTTGGAAGGTGAAAGAAGTGATCAAATTCAACTTTGAAACCAATATTATTGCAGTGTGTGAATGGTGAAACTCTGAACACAGTTTGTACTGCATATGGCCACCATGGAACAAGGAACTTCATCCAATTCTTTAAAGGGTTGTAAAGTAAAGAAGAGTATTGATGTGAGAAGACCAAGCTCTGTTTTGAGGCTGATGCCATGGGAAAGAAGACATCAACATTCAATGAAAGATTTTTTTGGGAGCCCTCGTAGGAAGAAAAGCTCTGTTCGAGACAGCCCTTTCAGATGTTCGGCTCCTTCAGGTCAGAATCTCCATAGTGACTTGAAAGAAATAAATATTAACCCAAAATCTTGGGATGTTAAGGAAAAGGGTAAATGCTGTTTACAGAGAGAAATCAATAAAATACAAGATCTTCAGCAAAATGGCAATGATAGTGTGAGTAAAGTGATCAGCCCAAGACAGACTGAAGCAAGTGTAACGTTTACATCGGGCATTTGTGATGGCAGTCTAATAGTTCATCATGTCGGCAACAGTGATGGGTGGCATATACCTGGTCAAGAATCACTTTCTTTGGCTAGAGATATATCAACTAGCTCAGTTTTGACCGGTAAACTTGTACACCATCAAGGTGAAGCTTTGAGAAATGTGGATAACAGAGACAATGTTAGCAACATAGATCACAGTGCATCCTGTGTACATGCTTTGTCAAACACACAGATCTCGCTGAACTATAACTGCTGTTGCCAAAGTATAATAAATAGCACGGTTGACGACAAAAGTCCAGTCTCTTCAACTGATAAGTACTTTGACAGTCCTTTAAGCAAGACTTACGTGTGTGCAGCTAAGTACAATCTACACCAGCTATTTACTTGTGAATTTCCACAAGTTAAGAAACCTCTAAAGGAAAGGCTTTTATGATTTGAGGCCTACTGATGTAAACTTATTTTCCCACAATTGTTGTAACATGAAACTTCACATTTTTGTTACTTTGTCTGACTATATTCCTGGCAACCATCCCAGCTTATATTTGGGTCATTTAGATCAAGGGTCTCCAAACTTTTCAGTGTGAGGACAACATTTTTTACATATTTTACAAATATTCATGGCCCCCTAAAAAATCTGTTTAATAAATGGATAATTTTTCTTTGTCAATTGGCATATGATATTTCTGTTTTGTTCTAAATCATATGACGATTACAAAGAAAAGACGTTGTGCCTACACTGGAATATGTACGAGTAAAAATGTCAAACCTTAGCAAATGCTCTTGATGAAAGATTCATTTACTTGACTGCAGATGAGAACAGCAGGCTATTAATTAATTTAATTTTGTTTACTGAAATTTTTCAAATGCTTACCTGAAATGAGAAATTTCCTTTTCTCTCTCTTTTTCTACCTCAGACATGGCCTAATTTTTCCAATTTTGTGGCACACAGTAAGGAAAATAAACAAGCCTTAGGAAAGAAAATCAGTAAAACTTATATAACAAAAGAAAATGATAGGATTTGTGCACAAAGATGATGGTTACTCGAGAGAGGTGTTACAAGACTCTGGGCCCAGATTTGTCTCTAAAGCCTCCTACACACCAACACTATACACAGCAGGGACAAGGTTAACATTGAATGATTGTTGTGGTTTGAGTGTCTTGAGAGCACATGGCACACATGACTGAAAATGAGGGTTTGCCAGGCTAACAAAACACTGGCTGTGATATCATATGGGAAGGACCACAGTGGACAGGAACCGGGGATGTCAACTGCCCGACTTTGTTGTTTAGAAAGAACCAAGAGAAATAATTAATTGTACTAATACATATTAATTATTAATTTTGACCAGAAAAATTTTTGTGGCAGGTTGGATTTGGCCCACAGGTCACAGTTTGGAACCCCGTGGTCTACATGATTTATTTCGATATATGGACTGAGTAAGGTGGCATTTTCATGTGTAAAACAAAAGTGTGAAGTTTGAGCTGCATTTGGCATATTGCAGTGGAGTATGTTTTCACCATATGAGATCATACTTGTTACACAATGGGAATTGATCTGAGTAAAAGTTTGATGGTGGTAGTCTTAATGGTATAATTCATAGACAAAAATGTGATTGTCCCTTATAATACCAAACTATTACAGAAAAAAAGGATTATATATATATTATATATATATTATATATATATAATATATATATAATATATTTATATGTATATAATATATATAAAATATATATTATAAAATATCCATATAAATCCATATATGCATATAAAGTTACAAGGTGAATGTAACTATAACTCTAGGACCCAAGTGTTACTCCTAGTTAGTCATGCCTTAGCATTTGCATAACGTTGCTGTCTTAGTCTCATGAAACTCCAGTTTGTTCACAAGTTTGTTAGCCTTTTTCTGCAGTCTCTGGTAGGCTGCCTTTAGCTAATATTGACATTTTAATTTGATTATGTAGTGTATTACTGTTGCTGCACTACAAAGACAAGCATATATTGTATGCTGAATAAGTATTGCTTCATAGCATTGCATAATAAACACCCCCCCCCCAGTGCATTGTGTAGAAACCTGAAATGTCATATTTTCTGTGCATACAGCTCCCATTTTATCATATTATATAATAAATGTTTCATTGCTTATTTTTGTGCTATGTTAGATGTATTGCAGTTGATATTGATAATAATTATGTACTTGAAAACATGATTAGTGTTAATCACTTAAGCATTTCCTTTTTGCCCTGATATGACTGCTTATGCAGTTTTGTATAATCACACTACAATCTTGACATTTTTGAAAACTTTCTTCTGAAGTTAAAAATTTAATTAGGCTTTTTTTCTGCTATTGTTAAACTCTGAAGGCTAAGTAACAAATAGAGCATCCAAATACCATTTTGTTATTTCTAAGGTGACCTAATTTATATAACTAAAAGTGATGTTATCCATCTTGCTTTGGTTGCCCCATATCTAGTTGTGCCCGACATGTTTCTTTTGGGAATTTATGCTCGCTTGTATCATTAAAGACAAGACTGTGCAACAGAATTTATTACTGCTCTTGCTGAGTGGAAGATAAGAAATTTATAAAGATACAGTTTTAAGTAAGAATGGAAACATTTGTACTATATTGGTTTCTTTAAATGGGTATTGAAGTAGAAAAGTGGAGAAGAATATTGACATGGCAGAATGGTGGTAGCTCAGGGATAAAGCCACAAAAGGTAGAAGGGGTTTTCTACTCATAGACATTAATGGGAAAGGGGTACCCACTTCTGAGAGTGCTGAGCAACTCGGGCTAATTGATCTGTTACATAGGAGTCTATATTGTATTTTTATGTACTCTTGTTGGTTTTTGTCCAGGTTGTTTGATTACTTTTTATAAGTTATGATATCTTGAAACCCTTTGCATATCAACTTTAAATTTAAAACACTAATGTATTACAGAAAAAGAAAAATTTGGCATTGTAGTGTCCTTGTGGCTGCTTTCCCCCCCCCCCCCCAGTGAACAGTTCCTTGCCCCCCCAGTGAACAGTTCCTTGACATGGTGAAGGGGCTCTTGTGTCCCTCCTGTGGATAGGAGGAGGTAGCTCCTGCTCCCTTCTGCCTCCTCCCCATTGGTGGGCAGTATCTTGACACTGATGGGGCTCCTATACACTCTCCGCAGGCAGTAGGGGGTGCTCCTGCTCTCCTCACCTGCCTGCTGTGAAGGTGCACAAGTGTGCACCTTCAGTGTGCACTTAAGGGCACATTCCCATGTGCCCTTATGTTCTTTCGTCCTAAAGTTGAGCCTACCCAGCAGCTGTGGCCCCCTGAGGGGGGGGGGGGGCAAGACTTCTTTGGTGGGAGGATAGGGGTAAAATGGGAGGTTCCATTAAAATGCCCACTTGAATCATATGTTAGCCCTGCCTCATTATTGGGACATTGTGGGCCTTAACCTTTTTAATGACACTGTGATGCCTCACTACAAACAAAATTAAAACGTATGGAAAAACAAATCTCTATGGAAAGGTTTTTAGTGAGACAAACAAGCAGTGAACCACAACCAGGTCCTAGTGGTATGCAGGCAAAACGTAGGGGAGAGAGTACTCCAGATGTCATCACTGCCTGATGTTATAATGGAAGGGGACTCCTCTTTCAAACAGTAACACCTCTCCTCCTCCTCACCGTCTTCCATACGCCAACTAGTCCTCAATAAAGGTAAGATAAACATACTGTATTGTAGCTAGAAACAAAATCTGTACAGTATTTGGTATGAAATGTATTTTTAATTTAATATTTTTGGGGGTGTGGAACAGATTAATTCAATTTACATTATTTCTTATGTGAAAATTCGTTTCAACTTACGACCCATCTCTTGGAACGGATTAAATTTGTAACTCGAGGCCCCACTGTACCATTTTTTCTGCATTTTCCTATTTTCCCCTAACCCTGATTTCACTGACCCTGCCTAATTTACTGTTCTTTGCCTTAGTTTTTTTAGTTCTTGACAGTGTCTATTCTTCAGTAGAATATACCTGGTTTATATTCAAATTTCCCCAAGCTCCAACTTCTGATCGCTGTTTTCACTGCTTCATGTCTCCAAGAGTTGATGCATGGTGCTAATCCTGGTCACTTCCACAATTATTCTTTTCACTCTTACCCTCCAGCTTTTGCCGAGACCCATAACTCTAATGCTCTCTTGGTCCCAAGTGATATTCCCTTTGTCCCCCCCATTTTTTCAGTCAAATGGATGACTGGTCCCATTTAGGCCCCATTAAATTATGTGGTTCAGTTTTGGTTGCCGTACTATAGAATGGATATAAATTCACTAGAACACTTCCAGCGTAGGATGACAAAGTCAATCCCCCAAATTAGAAACCTGTCATATGAAGAAAGATTGACAAAGCTTAAATTACATTCTCTAGAAAGGCGAAGAATTAGGGATGATGTGATACAGGTGTACATGTGGATGAATGGACATAACAAGGTAATACTGGTTCAGTAACAGGATTGTTGATTTGTGGAACCAATTACCGCATAACATGGTGAAGGTGGGGTCCCATGATTGTTTCAAGCTTGGATTGGACACTTGGACAGTTTGTTATATGAGTGGGATTGGGTTATCTTGAGATGATTTCGAGGCTTTTTAGTGTCCCCGCGGCCCGGTCCTCGACCAGGCCTCCACCCCCAGGAAGCAGCCCGTGACAGCTGACTAACACCCAGGTACCTATTTTACTGCTAGGTAACAGGGGGCATAGGGTGAAAGAAACTTTTGCCGGTCCTCGACGTGGGTATAGATAGGATCTACCTCGTATGGGTCAATAGGCTTTCAGTATTACCTTTATTTTTATGTTCGTATGTATCCTTGTGAGTAAATGGTACAGTCTGTTCCATTTATCTCCCCCTACATATTCCATTTCTCATCCTATTCTTAAACACCTAAACACCTGTTGGACTCATTACTGGAGCCTGTGCTCCTTTTGAGTTATTTCTAACTGTTGGGATTTCCTCTGGGGCAATGCTCTGACATGTACCTAATGCACCTTCTTGAATCTTTATCCTCTCTTCGTTATCTCCTGAATTCTGAGAAGCCTATTCATGTTGACTGAATTCTGAAAAGCTTATTCATGTTGACTCATGCACTCATACCCTTTCCTGTCTTGATCTTTTTCTGCTCTTCTATTTATGTAGACCTGGCATTGAGGGTTCTTGACCTCCGTAAGTGACTCATCTATATTCCCCATCCTCCTATAACCTTTTCTTTCCACCATCCTCTTTCATTTCCTATGTGGCAGTTTGATAAGGCTGACTGGAATCTTTACACTCCCCATGTTACTCTCCCTTAAGCCCTCCTTTTTCACGACACCTTTTCAACACTGCCCTTCATTCTGTTTCTTGCTATACCTCCAGTGGCACATGGAAGTGGAAGAATCCCTAATGGAATTCCTGTGCTCGGGCTGTATGCTATAAGTGTGTGGTCTGGAAAAAAGACACTGATTCATTTATTTTGTTTTTGAAGGGGAGTGTGGTGGTCCATAGGACCATTTGTATGACTAAGCAAGTCAGAAATCTTATATTTCCTTTATTATGGTTAACACCCCTCTCCCTCAGATCTGGAAGAAAATCCATAAGATTGTGGGTAAATTTGTTCCAGACATCTCGCCTGTCCATCTCAATAATTTTGTTGTGGCAGATCCAGTGTTAGTCGTGAATGAACTGGGTTCACACTTTTCAACAGTTAGCTTTGGTTCTTGTCTTCCTCCTACTTTCTTTACTCGATCTCTCCTCTTAGACTTTGACACACACTGCTTCCCTATAACAATCTCTCCTCTTTCAGAACTCTTAGTCTGCCTTGATCCTCTGCAGTTCTACAATGGCAGGCTCAGATGGCATTCATTAAGAGCTGCTCCATCTCCCTCGGTGCACTTTTCAGTATTTGCAGAGTATCTATAACTATTTGGGAAACATCAGTCCCTGAGGACTGGCACGAGGTGGTTCTTCCTGTTCGGAAACCTACTTTTCGAGGGAATTTTCTCTTAATTTCCACCTCATTGCCCTAACGAGTTGCATTTGCAAACTTCTTAAGTGTGTGGGGTCAATGTACGTCTAACAAGGTTCTTTGAATAGTATCGGCACCTCTCCCCCCTTAAACTTTAGCTTTGGAAGTATTTGCGGCATGGCCGTTTTAGTGGACTTTTAAGATGGGACATTCGTACTACCTTTGCTGCAAATACCTCTGTTGCAATTCTTTTTGACTTTGGGAAGGCTTACGATTACATCTGGAGATACAGTACAGTACAGTACAACATCTTGTCCACCACCTACCACTAACTGGCGGTGGAAAATGACTCTGGTGAGGTTACATGATCAATATTGATCATGCACGTTTAACTCTCAAGCACCTAATGGAGCACTTCCCTGCTCCTTGACCAAACTGCATTGTCCCTCTTAGTGTCATGCATGTCCTTGTTGAATATCCTGATTTCCAGGATGTATCTTGCTGCCCGCCTGTCCCTCTATAGACTCCTTGGTGAATTCGATACCTTTGATATCACTCGCTTTATGCAATTTTGTTCTCATATTGGCATCCTTAGTGACATTTAGCACCTTTCAAATCTCCTGCAACTTTGATGGTGTTTAGTCTCCCTTGCTTGGTACCTTCTTTCAATAATTACTTGGTTGCCTCTTGGCATTCATAGTGCACCATGTAATACGTCTCCCTCTGGCACCTTGTCATGTGCAGACGATGAGTCACAATAACATGGCTGAAGATATGATGGCCAAACCACACACCAGAAAGATGAGACAATGACGACAACATTTCTGTCGGTCCATCCTAGACCATTATCAAGTCGATTGTGATGGGAGTGAGGATTGATTGATTGATGAAGATTAAGCCACCCAAGAGGTGACACGGGCATGAATAGCCCACAAGTGGTGGCCCTTTTGGAGCCATTACCAGTATCAAGAGCTGATACTAGAGATCTGTGGAGGTGCAACTGCACCCTGCGTGACGGGAGATGTCTCCCGTGTGGGAGCGAGGGAGGCACAGGCATTAAGTAAGGCAAGAGTGTAGTGAGGAACAAATAAAAGGAGGCAATTCCTAGAAAGTAAGAGCAAGGTGAAAGGTAAGAACAAGAATGGTACAGATGAGATGGGTACCATCCCATACCACATGTACCATTGTTCTTGTTCTTACCTTTTGCCTTGCTCTTACCTGCTCACCTCACCTCACTCTTGCCTTACT